TATACTCAAAAGCTCTCATCCCATTTGCCTAGAATCGAATTCACTTAAATCCTAGCCTTGTTCATAAAAAATAATAATCAAGCTCTTGTTAGTTTTGGCTTTGTACAAACATAGCCAAAACTTGCAAGATATATATGATTTGTGTTTCGTGTTTGTGTGTGCAAGTGTTGCAAATGCAATTACATGTCTTGGCTTATTCAAATGCTAGCCAAGAGTGATTTTGTCCCTTTGAACTATTGTCTTCACTAATGAAGATGGGTAGTGTTACCTGGATGCTTGAAGTACATGAGCAAGCATGCCATGGAAACGTTGGGAGGACTCAAATGACAAGTCGCTTGGGTGATTCCAAATTGGTCTTGTCGTTTGTGTTTTTTGTCAATTTAGATCCCTATGGGTTTTTATTTATTTATTTTTTTCACTATAACATTTAGGCATGTCATTATAGTCTATAGTGCTTTAAATTTTTTTTATTGACACCCTTATATCTTTCAATTCTAGTTCTAGTATTTTTAATTACATCAATTATGTCCTTAATTTTTTTTTAATTTCATTTCAATTTCATTCAATTGCACCCTTGAAATAAAACCAAAAAATAAGACTAAATAAAATAAAATAAAATAAATAATAAAATAAAAATGGGATAAAGAAAGTAAGATAAGTTAAAACAATGAAGATAAACATAAAGGATCTATTGAAACAAACAAAAATATTGATTTTTTTCTTTTCCTTATGAAATAAAAATGTAAATCCTAAAATTAAACATGCAACCCAAAGTAAAATATAAAAAATAAGATAAAGTAAATAATGGAAATAAAATCAATAAAAAAATACTAAAATTAAATATAACCCAAATTTTAGGTTATGATGGTCTATATGGCTATTGGTTCTAGTAGATCATCCACATTTATCATCTCTTCATGTAATCAAGATAGATATGGTTCGGTACACTCTTCTTCTTCTTTTTGTGATGGAGAAAAGATCAACCAAACTTCTTTGGTAAGGATGTTGGTTTAGAATCTAGCTATCAGATTAGAGGTGAGATCTTCAAAAATTAAGATGGACTCAAAATCCAGTGCTATTATACTCGCTTTTTGACGATATCTCTTAAGGTAGTGGGAAGCATCTTATAGATGGCATCCTTTTAGAGAATAAATCATATCTTGAGGCCTCACCTAAAAACTTAAACTCGTTAGATGAGGCCTCAATATATGATTTTTTTCTCTAACATGCCTCTTTAAGTGAAAACTTTTTAGGCTTGAAACTTACACAAGCCCACACTAACTTATGCTTAATTAATTAGAAAAAATAGGGATTGTGAGATTCAAACTCATGATCGTTTGGTCATTAAGGCTCGATATCATGTAGAGTTAGATAGTTGATATTAAGTTTCATCTAAAAGAATTAAGCCTTATGGTTGGTGGTCCCTTCTCAACATTATACTCTTTTAACTATTCAATATGGAATATATTTTTTAACACTCATCCTTATTTGTAGTCGATCTTTTTGGATTTGTCAATGGCTTAAGCTATAGGATCTTTACTCGGATTGTTGGGTCTCTTAAAGGCTCGATATTATGTCAAAGGTGAAGGATCATGCATCCCATGGAGGTACGGAATAAAACAAAAAAAATTCCTCCATATAAAGGGCCCAAGATCATGTCCGAATCAACTAACTATATATTCATGAATTAAAACGATGAATAGAGAATTTGCCTCTTATAGCATAGACATAAACCTTTATGAAAAAGATTCCCCTAAATGTTTAGCCTTTATTGGTAATCCACACAATCCAAGCACCCATAAAAAAGGGACTCAAAATTGATAGAATGTTAGCTTCATCTTTTCCGACTTGTTTAGTGTTTCTTATAAAAATCTAATCGGGGTAATATTTACGATAACCGGACTAAAGGTGGCATTCTAGGGTTAGAGAGAAAAAAAATTTCTTAGGTTTTATTTTAAGCCGTGTGTCTCTATTATTATATGTGTGTCAAATTTTTCCTCTCTTTTTTATTCTTGTCAAATTTTCTCTCTTCTCTATTTCATGTCTTTTGCCACACTCGTCCTCCTTTTTATAGGGAAAGAGTTTCCTTGTCCTCCAAGGATAAAGAGAGGGGTAACCACTAGTCGTTATTAAACTCTTAGTTATTGCTTCCTAATCCTCTAAGGATGTAGGCTTTTGATCTTTATCTTTTAAACATCCATCCTTATCCAATAAGGTTCATGTTTATCCTCCTATCAAAATATCTTTTAGGCTTTTAATTAAATTTATTTTCTCAAAACTATTTTGCCCAATTAATTAATTTGGACTATCCAAATAAATTAAGTTAGATAATTTTAGTAAGCCAACATTAGGAAATAATTTTCTAAATTATCTTTAAACCTAAATTAGAAAACTAATTTATATTTTAGGTTATTCATTCCAAAGTTAGAACTAACTTCCAAATTAGAAAACTAATTTCTAAAATAGGAAACTTTTCATTTTAGAAAACTTTCTATTTTCAAAAAACTTTTCCAAAATAGGAAACTTTCATAATTAGAAACATTTTCCAACATCTTTGCTTCTCTTTAATCATGTGAATTCTTAAACTTATGTATGTGACTCAATAATCTCCTAGATATGTTGACAGCATATCAAAAATAAAAGACCCATGTTTTATCTCTTGATACATAAGTCAAGATTAGTCTCTAACAAGGCATCATGACTACCTAATTCTCTAAGAGGATTAATTAGTCCATAATTACCTTTCACAAGCATGGTTACCATACAATTTAGTCATCATGTCAACTTATCACAAGTGTGATCTCGAACTTGGTTATTAGTCTTATTCAATCACGATCACACAAGTTTTCTTCGATTTCTAAATATCTTAGCTCTTAGAGTAAACCAACTATGCTTTATTAGTGTACTCCTACCGTGACCATAGATTTCTTGAATAGACATTCATCAAAGTGCAATGTGATAACTCCATTAGTATAAAAGGAATGACATATCTTATCTTAGTCCTTCACTACCTTTATTAGATTCTTAGTGTACCCAATAAATCACCCACGTGCAACCCTTTACTATGTCCATCGAAACGAGTATCGTAGTACATAAGTCCTCCAATGAGATAATTATGATAATTTTAAGTCTAAGGATCAGTTATACCCATCACATATAAGATTCTCATAGACTAAACCAAATGGGTTCTCATGGTGAGTCAAGTCCAATGATATGTTCTCTAACATAAATCACCTAAGTATTTGCTTTGGCATCATCATATCAATAGGTATGAGATGTCCTACTACTATCATAAAGCATGACATAACACTCACAAGTTTAACCGCAACTAGTCAATGTCCATTATTAACCATGCTACAACTTGGGACATTTACTAATATCATTTATATGCATGAGTATTTGTCTTACACCTTTCGATCAATCATTAATGTAAATACCTATCATATGGACTCCTATCTAATTTTGTACATTGAATAAATGCAAATGACAAGAATTAATAGAAAGACTTCATTTATTATAAACAAAATAAATAATGCAATAACATAATAAGTCAAACCCATCCAAATAAGGTTGGATCTTAGGCACCTACACTAACAAAAAGATCATTTCAAACTAAAAGCTTAAGTTGTTAGGTTGAGATATTCCTTTGATATATTTATCTCATATAACGAAGCTCGAAGTTTCCTCATATTTTACATGTGTCTGTCTAGGATCGATAGAATCATCAAATATGTCTATATTCATTTTACTTGAGAGAAATTATCTAGAAAACTTAACGTTAAAGATACACAAAGCCAAAGGCAACACATGGATTTTATGTTTATAGTGGCATAAGAGTTAATGTGAGGAGACTTCGACCTTTTTTTCATGCAATGGCATTTGATCTCTAGGCTTACATGTGATGTTTCAAATAATGAGCACTAATGATGCTTCTCTTGGTATTACTTTGGCAATGATAATGTGTACTAATTTGCATGTAATTTAACAAAAGTGTAGAAGATGTTTGGAATGGACATGTTTAGAGAGTGTATTAGGAACTTTTTTATAATTTCTATGACGAAGCATATGGCTTGTTTTTTGTTTCATGAGAGGAGAAAAAGTACTACATGAATACTCTTCTTCTTATTTTGGAGTTTTCTTATGTGTAGAAGTTATTTATTGTTTTTAATCTCGATCTAGTTTGTCTCTAGTCCTTGTCATCCCTTTATATTGGCAATAATGGAAGCTTTTTTGCATAGCCGAAATATAGGAATGTCCTTTTTCCCTTTAAGGTTAGTGGAAGAGACGACAAATGTTTTTTTCTTTTTTTTTTTTTTTTTTGGTATCATTGTATTTTGATTCTACGATGACATTAATGTAGTTGTGATGAGTATTGATTTCATTGATGTCATCATTAGAGATGTATTGTTTAATGTTTTGTTTTCGGATGATAATAAAAAAGAGTAATATCCTTTTTCTGGATTAGAACCCCTAAAGTAAGGAGTTCTCAAAGTTATTGTTGTTGTTTTTTTTTAAAAAAAAAAAAAAAGGAGCACCTCCTTTGGAGGAATTGGTGTCTTTTAATTCTCTAAGCCCGCTTAATGAACCGGTACTTCTTGAAATGTTATGGATCTTAACTAGGCCTAAAAATTTTTGAAACTAAAGACTCTTGGGCCCTTCCTAGTATATCTTGCTAAAAAAAAAGTTGTTCATCACAATAACAAACAAACTCAAAGAGTAAGGATTGTAACTATTCGGATACTCGTTGATTTAGACTCGGTTGTACCGTGCTTATCAATAGTGTTTTTTTTTTTTGTATGTTTCTTTCACTCTTTGCTAAATTACTAAACAAAAAGTATTATTTTGTACTTCTTTTCAACCATCCGATCTAAATTAATTGCTTACGACCATTCTATCGAACATAACTTTTTTCGATCTCAACCATCCATCTAAAAAAACCTCATTATCTCAACCATTAAATCATATGATATATAAGTTCATTTTATCCCAATCTTAGAAAGTCTCCATTTTCTACTATTCTCCTCTTCACCCAAAACCTATGTTGCGGCCGTACTCGCCACCACCATACCCCGACGTCGACGTCGACCACCTATCACCACCATAAGATCATTTTATCCCAATCTCACTAAGCCATCTTTCTCTAACTTCATCCTTATATTCAACAAATATAAGAAAAATATTTTTCTCTCTTTCTAGCCTTCTTATCTTCTCTTTCTCGGTTTGTCCGTATACAAGGTTTTTTTATGTTGGAGTTTATGGAAGTAAGGGATAGCATCTTTAGGTTCATGTGGGTTTGGTAGCTGCTAAGTTTGTGAGAGAAGATGACAAGGTGGGTGTTGGCTCAATTGGGTTTATAAGAGAAGATGACCAAAGGATATATGGAGGTAAAGGATAAAGTTGTTGGGTTTAGCTAGGTCTAGTGGCTACTGGGTTCATGAGAGAATACGATAACGGTGGGTGTTGGCTTGATTGGGTTTGTGAGAGAGGAGGATGAGTACTATTTTATGAGAGAATACGGTAAGGTATATTCATCAATTCAAAAATTGAAGCCATCATCGACTTTAACTCTCCGTTGAATATTTTCCTTTAAACACGGTTTGTTCATTCCGTTGTACTTAAAGAAATTTGTAATAATAATAAGCTACAACATTCATCAATGTAGAATTTTACAATTCATTAAAACTGATTTGTTTAAAGAGTAATCTAATTAAAAACTATGACTCGTAATTTCTTACTTTCTTACTATTATCGTATTATTTTATTTCTTTTTGGTTCTTGCCAATAGCTCCTTTTTCAAACTTTCAACAAAGCTTTCATCAATTCTTAATTAAAAAGTATATATATAACTTTGCATCTTTTTTTTTTTTGTTTTTTTGAAAGATGATGAAGATGGTTAGAGTAAGTAGATATTTTCTTCTTGATTTTCATTTGTTTTCCACAAATAGGATCATTTCAAAATAACAAACATTTCATTAGGGGTGACCATTGTTCGGGTAAAATCCAAAAATTGAATTGAATCGAATCGAATTAGCAATTTCGATTTGGTTTCATTTTAAAAATTTTTTAAAAAAAGTCAAAACCAAAAACTGAAATTATTTGGTTCGGTTTGGTTATTTTAAAAAAAATATATAATTTTCATCGGAAATCAAATTTTACAATAAGCAAAAGTTATAATTTATAAAACCCTAATATCATTTAGTTCTTCTCTTTCTCTCGGCCTTCCACTAACCACTCGCTCACCCCAAAAACTCCTCGTTCGGCATTCTCCACTTTTACTCACCACCCAATCCACACATTTACCGACAATGTGACTCACACGAGCTCTAAATTACCGTCTACTAGTTAGCCACATGCCCACACCTAGCCCCCGCCCACCAATTCGGTCGATATTTGTCACTCATCCATCCTCCTCCTCCAAACTCCGGTCCTTCTCAAGCCTCGACTTAGTTCCCATAGCCTTCTTCCTCCTCCTTTCAATAGTAAGTTTTCAATTTTTAACATTTCGAGTGAGATAAATCATTTTGGTTTAATTCCTTTTACGTATTCTTTCATCCACTTACTTTTCAAGATGATGCATAATGATTATGTTTAGGCCCTTTGCACTTTCGGTTTAGTAGATTGAAATCATTGAATCGTAGTTGTTTTGGCTCAAATTGATGCTTGGTCAAGCTGTGCGATTGTGCATTTAGTCTTAACAAGCAATGCAATGCAATCCAATTAAAGTAGGTTTGTCTATGTTTATTCTCACTAACATAATGGAATCAGCATTGTACTAAAAGAAAAATGACCCTCTAGCTATTCATTCGGTCGTAGGTAGGCTTGATTCAATAATATGAATAAAATACCTTTTTGAACTTTGATTATGGAGATGTGTAGTCATACTTCTATGCTTGGCATGGCTAAGCGAAAGATTGATAATGGAGCTTTGTTGTTTGCACCATCACCGTAAAGACAGTGAAGTTGAAGAGCAATCAAGCAAATCATTAATCCATCATTGCTAATTGTGAACTTGGAGCCAAGCTCTCTAGTCTTCTTTACTTCGTTTTTTTGTTCAAAATGTAAATAGAAAATAGGAAATGCTCCTCGATTAGTTTATTAGTCTTAGTACATATGCCACTTGGGCTTGTTGTGCACAAGGAAATGTTTCAAACCAACTGATTGATCTTAAATCTCTACAAAAACTAGTTTTGCGGTTTCTATATAAATTCTCTTTGCCAAGTTTTTTTTTTTTTTTGGAGCAACTCTTTAGCTACTTCTACAATTATCTCTACATCCCTAAATGGTTATGGAATTTTTTATATCACCGAGTGAGATAGCCTAGCATGTCTCATTAATTTGTTACTCATCATGATTCAAATGATCAACTAAACAATGGATATGTGATTTATATGGCAATACACATATCATTTAGTTCAAAATTAATTGATCAAGTAAAGTAGATTGAAGCAAATGTAAGAAGAGGAAGATATCTTTTGAAGAAAGTAACAGTTGAAAACTCCATACTAGTGATAATTTTCGGTGTCTTTTATGTAGGATCCATTTGTTGTAGTCTTGTCAACTCAAAGCAATGAACATAATAACTCCAAAGCATTGGTTGTCACATGTGGGTTGTACCAATCAATAGTATAGCTATATTCACTTGAATCATGTAAAAGGGAGAAGGAAAGAAAGAAAGAAAAAAGAATACTGTGGATTTTCTTTTACCATTAATTTGTAGACCAATAATATCTACTTGTCTATTTTCGTAAAGGAACAATGGTTCTTCGGAAAAATATATACCTCATGCTTGCTTTGAACGTGCATATAATAATTCATTGCTAATGGTAAGCCCATGAGGTCATAAATCAAATAAGGAGTTAAAGCATAATTACATAATGATGAATTATTGGAATTTTTTTTTTATTTGTTCATTTATAAGTTCAAAAAGGCATTTTATTCATATCAATATATACGTTAATTAAAACTAACTATGTCTAAGGATGCATCTTTTATATTTGATCTAATACATTGAGAGAAATTTAATAAATGCTAATGAATTGAGATCAATCATCAATGTAATAGTTTTTTTCCTTTGTTTAGATGTCGCAACCCGAAGAAATTATGAGTTCAAGCTATGAACCACCAAGTGAAGCTCCAACAAATGCATGGGGAATAAAGAGGAAACCAATAAAGCGAAGATCGATTGTGTGGGAACATTTCACCAAGTTTGAAGATGAAGACAAAGGAATCAAAGCAAGATGTAATTATTAGGATAAGGTACTTGTTGATAATCCTATAAAAAATGACACTACTACACTTAAGTCTCATATAACCGTAATGTTAGTGTTGATGCCCAAGATCCAACCATGTTTGGATGGGCTCGAGTTAATATTTTATTGAATTATTTATTTTAATAATAATAAAGAAGTGATTCTCTTAATTCTTATGTTTACATGTTGATAAATTCTATAGAATTAGATAGAAATCTTTATGATATGCATTTGCAATAATGATTGATCGAAACATGTGAGACAAACACTAATGCATATAAATAATATCATTAAATGTCTCAAGTTGTAGTATTATCAAGAATAGACATTGACAAATATGGACAAACTTATGAGTGTTATGCTCATGCTATGTGATAACAGTATGAGATCTCACACCTATTGGCATGGTGATGCCAAAGTGAGCACTTAGGTGATTTATATTATAGAACATATCACCTGGACTTGACTCGCCATGAGAACCCAATTGGTTTTAGTCTATGGGAATCTCATACGAGATGGGTACAAATGGTCCTTAGACTTGAAGTTATCTTGTTTATCTCATTAGAGGACTTATGCACTTTGATACTCATTTTGATGGACCCATTAATGGGTTGCATGTGGGCGATTCGTTGGGTGCACTAGGAATCCAATGAAGATAAGTGTATGAATAAGATAGGATATGTCATTCCTTGTATGCTAAAGGAGTTATCACATTGTAATTTAATAAGTGTCTCGCTTAAAAAATATATGGCAATAGTAGGAGTACACCAATAGAGCATAATTGGTCTATTCTAAGAGCTAAGACATTTAGGAATCGAAGAAAACTTATGTGATCATAATCGAACAAGACTAATAACCAAGTTTGAGATCACACTATGATAAGTTGACATGAGGACTAAATTATATGGTAACCACTCTCATGAAAGGTAATAATGGATTAACTAATCCATCCTCTTGAAGAATTGGATAGTCATGATGCCTTGCTAGAGGCCAATCTTGATTTATATGTTAAGAAATAAATGAAGAGTCTTTTATTCTTGATACATTGTCAACGTATCTAGGAGTCAATTGAGTCACACGTATAAGTTTAAGTATTCACATTATAAATGAGAAGCAAAGTTATTGGAAAAAAGTTTCTAATTATAAAAGGTTTCCTATTTTGGAATGAGTTTTCAAAATAAAAAGTTTTCTAAAATAAAAATTTTTCTATTTTAGAAATCGGTTTCCTAATTTGAAAGTTAGTTCAAATTTAAAAATAAAAAACCTAAAAGGAAAGGAGTTTCCTAATTTAGGTTAAAGGGTATTTTGAGAAATCGTTTCTTAATGTGGACCCCGTTAAAATAATCTAAGAATATCTATTTGGATAGTCTAAATAAATTAATTGGGATAAAATAGTTTTGACCCATTAGATTTAATTAAAAGTTTCAAAATAATTTTGATAGGAGGATAAACATCAACCTTATTGGATAAGGTTGAACATTTTAAAGATAAACATCAATCTTATTAGATAAGGTAGAATGCTTTAAAAATAATAATCAAATAGTCCGCATATAAAATAACTCCTCACCCTTTCGAGGATAAGGAAGTAACAACCTAAAGTCCTTTATGGACTCATAGTCGCCCTCTCCTTTTTCTTGAAGGACAAGGAAACTCTCCCCTATATATAGGAGGAGAGGTGCGGCATAAAGGTAAAAAAATACAAAAGAGGAGATTTCGACCAACATAAAAAAAAGGAGAGAGAAAATTCGGCCAGCCCAAAAAATTACCTAGTGGTACATGGCCAAGAGAGAAAATAAAGGAGAAAATAGCTTTCTTCTAAACCTTAGCAAGAAATATTCTTTTTCTCTGTTTTAAGGTTGTTGTAAAATTACTCGGGATTGATTTTTAGAGGAAACACAAAATTGAAAAAGGTAGAGTTAGCACACTCATTAATTTTGAGTGCTTCTTTATGGATACTTGGACTACGTGGATCATCAATAGAGGTCGAACACTTGGATGACTTTACTAAAAAAGAATTTAGATGTGCGCTATAAGAGGTAATCCTTTAACTTATGGCTTGTTATTCATGTATGTATGGTTAGTAGATTTAATAGTTTGATCTTTGAGCCCTATATGGAGGAAATTTTTGTTTATTTTGCACCTCCATAGGATGCATAATCCTTCATGTATGTAAAAAAAGCCCCTATAGTATTGACACTTCATTAACTCAATTAAACCTTCACTCAAATAATTAAGGAGAAAGCACTTCTTAGCACATAGAAGTTTGATCAAAATGCTATTAGAAATGCTTTAGCTTTCATGATCATTATCGATGAACTTCCATTTAAATTTGTGAAAGGTATGGGATTTCAAAAGTTTATGTCTATTGCATTACCTAGATTCAAAATTTCATCATGGTTTACGATTTCAAGAGATTACTATCAACTTTTTTTTAAAAGAGAGATTAGTATTAAAGCAATTCTTGAAAACAAATTCTCAACTAGTTTATCTCACTACGAACACATGGTCATCTATTCAAAGAATCAATTATATGTGTTTGATGGCCCATTTCATTGATAATGATTGAAAGTTACATAAAAAAAAATATTGAATTTTTATCCGATTGATAGTCATAGGGGTATGGATTTAGGCAATGCCATTAAGAAGTGCTTAATTGATTGAGGGATTGAAAAGGTTTTTACTATTACGGTTGACAATGCAATTTCTAATGATGTGGAAATTAGATACTTAAAATATGTTATTAAGGATTGAGGTCATAGTATCTTATATGGAGAATTCCTTCATATGAGGTATATGGCACATATTTTGAATCTTGTTGTTGATGATGAGTTAAAGCATGTTAATCCTTTAATCTTTCGTGTTCGAGCAGCCATGAGGTATGTGAGACAATCTCCGGGTAGGTTAAAAAAATTTAAGGAATGCATTGAGATGGAAAATTTGATTCTAAGAGTTTGTTACATCTAGATGTTACAACTAATGGAATTCAATGTATTTGATGTTAGATGTGGCCCAAAAATTTGAGAGAGCTTTTAAGAGATTTGAGTAAATTGATCCTTTATATAGATGTATTTGGACCACCTAATGCCAATGATTAGATAGTTTGTAGGAAGATGGTGGACATGTTGAAATCCTTTTATAACCTTACTTTGCTTGTTTTGGGTTCTTTGTATGTCACTTCTAATACTTTCTTTGATGAGATTTGTGCAATTGAATATGTTTTGAGAAAATGATAATAAAGTTCTGAGGTTGATGATTGTTTAATGGTTATAAGAATAAAAGAAAAGTTTGATAAGTATTGGGGAGATGTTAAGAAAATGAACAAGTTGATTTATATTGCAACAATTCTTGATCCTAGGCATAAATTTTGATTTGTTCAATTTTCTTTCAATGAATTGTATGGTGAATTGAATGGTGAAATAATGATAAATCTTGTGAGCGAATCTATATATGCCATGTATTCTTCATATCGTGGGTCGGGAAGACCTAATATTGACCAAAGGGTGGGAGAATGGAAGATGTAAATAAAGAAATGGTTGAGCAAGAGCCAATGGGTGTGGTTTATAAGATGAAATTAAAATATAAAAAATTCAAGATTGATGTTGAAGGTTGATAAAATAAATCAGAGTTGGATAGGTATCTTGATGAAACTATTGAAAAAGAGGATAAAGATTTTGATATTTTGATGTGGTGGAAAAATGATTGTGCTCTATTTCCCATTCTTTCTCAAATGGCTCATGATGTCTTGATGGTTTCAATATCAACTGTTGCTTCGAATCCTCATTTAGTATTGGAGGAAGCTTTCTCGACTCTTTTAGGAGTTCTTTAACTCCTAATATTGTCCAATCTCTTATATGTGCTCAAGATTGGCTTCAAAATTCATTAACACCGATTAATGTCGAAGAAGATTTGCAAGATCTTGACAAAATTAAAGCTCGGTAATTTTATTAACTCTTTATCTTTTCATTTGTCATTTTTTAGTTAAGATGTTTAATATTTAATAATGTTAAATTATTGATTTATATTTTATTTTTTAGATATAGCAACACTTTTTATGGTGCCAACTATGATAGATATATGATAGATTAATGGTGTTTTGGCCATTTGGATGACATGGGTAAGTTTTTAATTTTTATTTGCTTGATATATTAATTTTTTCAACTTGAATATTTTGATAGACTATTTGAGTTAATAGGGTTTTTTTTTTTTCTTTTTTAGGAAATGCCAAGGTTTGGAAGTTGGAAGTTAATGTTTTTATTTGTATTATGATTTAAGGATGTTTAATGGATTGCATTTAAATTTTTAACTATGGATGATTTTTTATGGATTGTGTGGATTGCATTTTAATTATGGATGTTGGTTTATGGATTGTATTTTAATTATGGATGATGTTTGGACTTTGGATCAATGCTATAGTGTTTTGTTTTGGTTATTTGGTATGTACTATATTTAGAAAATATTTGGTATGTTTTGTTATGGTTTAAGTTGACAAATGCATGCCGGTCAACTCATGTTTTGTAGGCCACTCGCCCATTGCTTCGTGCTTCCTACTTTAAACTAGCGAATTATGAATTATAGATTGCTTTTAAACTAATGTTTGTTATTTGCTTGTTATGGTTTAAATTGCTAGAAATTGGCCAAATGGCCACTACCTCGTGCTTTCCCGAGTGCCCACCTTTATAATAAAGGTTGCTAGGTTGGTTCCAAGAAAAAAACAAATCGATTTTAATCAAAAAGTCGAACTAAAATTTTTAGTTTTTAAACCAAATAACCGAACTAAAAAACCGAATGATTACCCCTACATTTCATACTTGAAATTTGAATTTATGATGGGTTAGAGTAAGTAAACTTTTCATCTTGCCTTTTGTTTTTCTCATCTTTTTGAGTGCTTTCCCAATGCCCACCTTTATAATAAAGGTTGCAAGGTTGGTTCCAAGAAAAAAACAAATCAATTTTAATCAAAAAATCGAACTAAAATTTTTAGTTTTTAAACCAAATAATCAAACTAAAAAACCGAATGATTACCCCTACATTTCATACTTGAAATTTGAATTTATGATGGGTTAGAGTAAGTAAAATTTTCATCTTGCCTTTTGTTTTTCTCATCCTTTTGGGTTTTTTGTCAATGGAACCATCCTACAAGAAAAATCAAAACTCACTTTAATTTTTTATAACTATTGTTGGTAAAATTATGAATTTCCTTTTTGTCATTTTTTAGTTTATTGCGTATTGCTTGACTTATTACCATTACCAAAAGAGCTGCTTCTCATTCTTCGAAGAAGGAGCATTGGTATTATATTTGATAATTGGATATTTGGCATCCACTTGAATCAATGATGACAACTTGGTTATGTGATTTTTTTGTTAGGATTTAAGGAGTATTTGCCTTGCTATTTCTTTTCTGAAGTTGATTTCTTTATTAAATTTATTCTTGTTGGAATAACACAGATGTTGATTTCTTTATCAGACTATCCGTCTTCTCCTATTATTTTTTTTCACAATGTAATGAAATGTCGTTATAGATTCATTAGAGTATAAGAGATGTAGTTCTCCAATTGAGCCTTCGTATAGTTTTTTTTTTTTTTTTTTTTTTTTTGTCAATCAATTGAGTGGAGAACATACCATTTTATTTCTTACATGCGATGTATGGTAAATATGGTTTAACTTGCATCTATATAAACATATATGTATGATCTATAAACAAGTTTTTTATGAAAAAATAGATGGTGCCAATATGTTTCATCAGTTTACAAAGGCTGGTTCTCTTGCTGGATATCTTGGAAATAATTTACAGGTACTAGGATGTGGTTTATGTTACAAGTAATTTAAATAGGAAGACTTTAGGTGAAATTCTCCAATACCTGAACCTCTATTGGGTTAACATAATAGGATTCTTATAAATAATGGGCTATAATAAGTACGTTAAGCAATTCTGGACTCTCATATTGTCACGAGTATCAGTTCATCGATGGAGGTACACCGCATGATGAAGATGAACCAAATTTTGAAACCCTGTACAAAATTATACATCCATTGCATTAAGGAATCGTGTTACTCATTTAGTTATGGAATAAAGTGTTGATGTGTCACCTGTCATATATAATTGAAAGTCATAGTTGTAGTTCAGTTAATGTGAATCTCTTGTTAAATATCTTGTCTTATTGCTTATTTACACTACATTGTCTTGAAGATGTCTGGAAAAAATACTTACAATGAATACAGTCTAAATGAGTTTATTGCTCTAAGGGCATCGATTTATGTTAGTTAGAATGATTGGCATTTGGCTGGGATGACTGTAAGAGAAACTCTAGAATTTGCCAGACGTTGTCAAGGTGTTGGGTTCAAATGTAGTAAGCTTTAAAAAATCATATCTATGACTATGCTACTTTATTTACTTTCTTTGTTGTCCTTTTTTCCTCCCTACTTCCCCTTTGCTATTGCCCCCTACCTATTCTAAATATTAACACCTACTCGTGACTATCTGAGTTACAACCTCAATGCCTAGTTACCTAAGCTTTAAAAAATCATGTCAATAACTATGCTGCTTTATTTGCTTTTTTCTTTGTCCTTTTTTCCTTCCCTACTTCCCCTTTGCCATTGCCACCTACCTATCTTAAAAATTAACTCCTACTCTTAATTATCTAAGCTAAAACCTCAATGCCTGGTTACCTAGATGCTTATTATAAACACTCATGTCAGATATGCTTTTGGGGCTTGCAAGAAGAGAGAAAATTGCTGGGATAAAGCCTAATGAAGATCTTGATATATTTATGAAGGTACTTAAATTTGTAAACTTAAGTACAAATTTGCTAAGACATATATATTTTGCTGAGAGATTTAAGTCTTTTTTTAATATGAGATCTGAAAGCATTTTTTTCCCTTTACAATTACAAGTCCAACGTGTAATATTGGAAACTCAGCCTTTAGCTTTTCTGCAGCAGACTATCTTAAATTTTTGTTATGGGTTTTATAAAGGGCATTATAGCTGAAGGTGTTGTAAGTGTTATTATAGAAGCAATTTTATACCTTATTGATATAGTTAAAACTCGATTATAGGCAAGTAGGCTTATTCTCTCTCATTTTGCTTTATTTTTTGCTCTGCATTGCATCCCAATACTAGATTTTTTCAGACTAGATTCAGATTTGAAATGAAACAACATCCACTATGCTATACTGACATTGGTTCTTACAAAAACATAATTACCTTTTTCTTCACCATCTTTTTTTTGTGGTTGCATTATGCTATCATATTTTGATTGTGTTGTACTTTCGTGGTAAAATTGTGGCCACTTGAGTGAAATTACTCTTTTTATTATCTTTGATTGCTTGATCTTAATTTCAAGTTAAGTTACACTGTTGTTTTATCTCTTATTGCTTAATCTTAAATCTAACATGCTGAAACCAATTATTATGAGTAAAATTCACTAGATGGTGTTCTTTTCTTTATGTTGGATGATTAAGACTTCTTCTGGCCTCTTCATGGTTTACTACTATAAGGGCAATTCGGTGCATCAATAAAAGATATTCAACTAAATTGAAAAGCCATTTATAGATATGTAATAGGTTTTCCTAGCTTTATTTAGCATCAACTGAGACATAAATTAGATAATACTAGTAAGTGATTCTTGAACGAGAAAAGGCTACACTAACTGGTCATTCCATAATTTAGGATTCTTGCCCATGCTTTTTATATGCTCTCTCATCATTGTAATGTTTTTCTTAAATTAATTAAGTTTTTCATTTTTGCAACCGATAGGAATTATAAAATTAAAATGTCAGGTCTACTTGCTGTCCAATGCCACGATTATTTCTCTATGTAAGAATCCATGATTATGCTTTTCATTCTATCTTATTTTGTAATATCATTGTTTTTAGGTCAAAATCCCATTTTCTTCTCTTGAATGTACTTGATGAAAGTCACCTGGAAATATTAATTAATGTGTTGATGATATGGGTTTGATACAAGTATTGTTGGTCTTGTCGGTAAATACATCATAAAAAATTTTAAGCAGGTGATCTTACTTTACTGATAAAAAAAATTAAGTAAACATTATAATCATAATGCCTTTGGATATGCTTGCTTCTTTTTTATTTTTATGACTGTGCTTGTGCTTGTCTTCTTGCACCACAAAGTTAGATGGAAACAAAAATGTATGGTTTTCTTATGTGTTTTGTCTCTAGGGTTCACGACACTATAGATTTACAATGATAGGTTTGTTGTAGATTACACAGGCTTTTAAAGTCATGCATTTTCTATTTTTAAATCAATCTGGATGTAGGAGGCAACAACTACATGCTATGTAAGATTGCATCATCAAGTTAAAGGCATAAACGACCACTATTTTGCTGACAACAACATGGCTAAGGCAAGCTTACAAGCAAATGATATCGAGTTGGCTAAGGAATTGTGGGACTTCAGCTTAGATTTGGTCCGCAGAGGCTCAAATCCTTCATAAAGATCATAAAACTGATCTTTATGCACTATAATTCGAAGCAAGTAGTTCTGCAGATGTGAGTTTTGATGTCATGGCTTTACACATATATAATATGGAATGGGTGATTTATGTAACTATGATAATTAGTTTATTGTAGGACTTAGCGATTTCATAATTTTGATGTCATGGCTTTCACATATAGAGTGTAGAAAGAGTGATTTGTGTAACCATAGTCATTAGTTTATTTTATATATATATATATATATATATATATATATATAACAACACAAAACAGAAGAGGTAGTTGCTACTCATAAACAAATATGCAAAGATTATGGAGTAAAATTTTATGTTGAGAACTCATGCACCATATATTTTTGCTTCTTCTTTTTTATGGGAGAAGTCACGTAGCGATTTCATAGCAATAAGAATTACTCCTAATTGGGGTAATGGTTAGTTTTTTTTTTTTTTTTGGGCCTTTGGCCCCTTCTATAACCATTAAAAATAAAAAATAAATATATATGGTTATGAAATATGCTTGATATTACTTTGAATTGAGTAACATGCAGCCTTTTTTTCCCTCCTAAAATAGTAAGAAAACTGGGATAAATGTATGAATGTGTAGATTAGGCTCCTTTACAGTCTCTGATTTATTTTCCTCTGAGTTATATATTTTCCTAATGGTAGGGAAAAAGAAGAAAGATCAATATAATGCTAATCAAGTGAGAGTGGGTCTGACTCCTGCTTATGGCAATGCTTATGAGACGACACCTCCTGTAAGCATGTTTTATGCTTTATTAGGATTACTGGTACTAGGTTTTTTAGAATATATGATTTTTAAGTTAACCTCATTTTTCTCTGCATCTAGATTAATTGGATATGGATATAGCAGCATTTTTGTTATCATTATTCACTTGAAGTTCAGTTGTGTAAGTTAATTTGATATTTAGATTTGACCACTAAGATTGACTTCCTTACAAACAAATTTTTGGATGTTATAAAGCACAGAGAGCAGATCAACATTTATACTTTAGACAAACTTACCTTTTAGTTGTTCAATCTACAATATTGCTTCTTTTTACTAATGGAAAACAATCATTTGCTTTTATCAGTTTTTTTAACAAGAAAGGATTCTGAATATACAATGATAAATTTCTATCCTACAAAGATAACAAGTTCAATTACTGAAGCCACCAATTTGGAACTATGAACCATATGAGCAAATTTCTTAGGTTCAATTTTAGCATATCGTTCATGACTACAGAGGCATATTCTTATAGTAATGTTCCTGACCAATGATATTTGAGGTTGTTTTGTATTTTTACTTTTAATTGGGTGTTCTGACATTGATTTCTTTTTGTTGGATTCTTGATAGAAATCGGTGATTGTTAGGTACATAACTAATTTTTCTTTCTTTTTTGATTTATACTGTTATTGTCTTCTTTTCTTGATATGGCTTAGCTACAATGGATGTTTTTGTTTAATCAGGTCAATATCATTAATTTAAGCTTACTGAATTCTGATTGATAGTTTTTTTTTTTTTTAGCTTTTATTTCTATGCTAGCAAGGCGACATGCATACAATCTTTAATTTTACAAGAAAATCTGGTGGGTGTCAACTTGATCATTCCTTAAATTTTTCTTCTGCGTATCATTGATAAAAGAAAAGCTTGAAAGATTAACACTTACAGACACGTGCATACTCTGTGCTCTGACCTATCAATTTAGTTTGAAAAGTAGTAAAACTAGGTCAGATTCACTTGCACCTAGCATCTATCACCAAAAAATACACACTTGAGAAAAACACTCGTGATTTTATGTTTTACTTAAAATATTACAGGTTGCTTTTTTATTTTGGATTCATATTTTTTGTATGTCAGCACATTATCTCAAACCTCACATCAAAGACATGTGGTGTAGCTACTTATAGAAACTATTAAATTAAATTGAATATATAGGTTCTTTTTTTTCTCTCTTTTTCTTAATGACCATATGATTCTTTTACTAAATTTATCATGATCAATTATTATTCTTAATGCAGACATGTTTTTGGTAGGAACTACCATGTTTATTTTTGGAGTTGGATTTTATATCATTTTTGTAGGATCGAGGAATTCAAAAGATCAAGCATTATTGTTGCCAGATTCAAACTTGAGGTATGAATGGGACATGACTTCTCCTAACGCATTAGCTATTCACAACAACAATGACCATTTATATTTTTCTTTAATAGCAATTCATTTGTTATTTTTGACAATTTGTTTAAACTTTTATTCTCAATTATAACGAGACATCGACAGACATAATTCATTTTCAATGTTTCCAAGGGATGTAAGTTAACAATTCTTTAATGAATTGGTAATCTCACATTATCTTACAACTACTTCTCTTGAAGCTTTTAGATACTACTCTTTAGATAATTTCTCTATGTATTACGGATAGAAATATTTTTATCCGGTTTAGTGTGGGTGGCTTTCGGTTTCCCATATAGGATAGAACTAATTAATTTGACATTTCGCGCCATGGTTTTAAAAAACGGCCGCTACATCGCGTAACGATCGTTATATAACGGCAACGAGACAACCCGTTATCATTTTTCGATGTTATAAAGGTCTCAACGCCGTTTCACGCCTATAATAATTGGTAACGACGTTATCGTTATATAACGTCGTTATAAGCCGTTATATAACGACGTTATATATAAAAAAATAATAATAATAAATTATTTTATTTAAATAAAAACTTTAGTTAATCCTTTTTATTTCATAAATCAATAATTTAGTTATTTTTATTTATTTTATATTGTTATCTAATTTATTTTTTTATTTTAAAAATAGAAAAAAATCATACCATAAAAAGATTGATGAAAAAAATAATTATGAAATAAATATATTATATTAAAAACATTAATACTGATTCAAATCTTATATAATTAATTTTAAAACATTAAGGACTAATTAATTTATTTATCAAACTAAAGGGACTAATTAATCAAATTTATTAAAACTAAAAAGACTAATATATAATTTACTCTTTCACAATTCTCACCAATTTCAAAGGCTGCACCTTTGAATTTGGCCTTTTTAAAGTGCTCTCTATGCGCAGCGAGCCTTGCTGCATGTAGAGTCGTTAAATTCAAAGGCTGCAGCAGCGTGCGGCCTTTGAATTTAAGAGATAAATAATACACATTCAATTATTATAGAGCAATACCATTCGCAAATTTACTTCTTTAATCATGCTCAAATGCTCACTTCTTAAGTTATCATACATTCATACTTTCTCAAGTTCTTATACTATCCGTTTATTCGTAAACCAATTTTAATCTCTTATGTCTCAACTTAAAAAAAAACAAATTTTCAACTTTAAATACTTATATTCAATTGTTAACAAAGCTCTTTTAACTTCTCAAGTTTCAAGTATCGACCACTTTCAAATATTAATTTGTTTCGAAAATGAAAAATTTATAAAGATAAGTTTTTATTTAAATTAATTTTATTTATTTTTTATGTTAATTTATGAAAAAAAAATTCATCATTAATTTTATATGATTAAGTTGTTATTATAGGAAACAAGTTCATGGGTTCATGAAGTACTTTTCAATCGGCTTTATATGGGCTTTTTTCTAGTGGTTTTTTGCAAGGAAGAATGGATATTGCGGATTCTTAAATTTCTCTACTTTTGAATTGAAAGCTTGGATTCTTATAAGCACATGTATGTACTTGTATTTCCTCTCTATGTAAATCTCTATTTGTATGCTTTATTTATATCAACAAACATGCTACTAGTTATTTTGGATATTGGGTTTTGTAGATTTTTCTTTAATTTTAGCACCACTTTGGTTGGATATATATATATATTGATTGGAAAATATTTTTGATAAGGAATAGACATGGTAGTGAAGGATTTTTTTTTTCCTTCTTCTTCTTATAATTTTGGAGTTCCAACGTGCTTGTTAGTATTTTGTAAATTTTTTTTTAAATAAATCTAGAAAATGCATCCTTAAAATCATAAATCATTTAAAAAAGAAAATTTATTTTAGATTGTGCAGTAAAAACACCTATGCTAAATCTATTGGAGTTAAAAAATGTGTGCGGGATATTATTATCCCTAGGCATACACGTGACTTTGTGCGGGGTATTATTATTATTATTATTAAGTATTAAGTGTACTTTAGAGTTATAAATATCTCATATTAAAAAAAAATAAGAAAAGCAAGATGTTTATATGTAAAATATATCCATAATTTGTTATTTTAGATTAAGTTAATGTCTATTTTTATGTATAAATCATCATGCTTACAAATCTAAATAACTTTCCAAAGCATATCTTTCCAACAACTATTAATGTCTTGCAAGCATATCTTAAGCATATATAATTATTTATCATGAAATTAGGACAAAACTATCTTATCCATCAAATATTATAATTGGCAATTCTTTTTAGGGTAACTGGTACTTTAGTCATTATAGAAGATATTGTGTACGGGAAAATATCAAAATATTAATTGCTTTTAATCAAGTAGGCTCGGCTAGCTAGAGAAGGAAAAAAGGTGTGTTATTAAAAAAGAAGTTTTGTTACTTTCTTTTAAAATTATTTTTCGATTAATGTAATCTTATATATAAGTTAATTACTTACCATGAAAACTTAATACTAATCGGATAACTTATAATAATCAAATGACATGGAGAGTATATTTTAAAATTTTGGATTTAATTTTACTTATTGTAATCTCTATCTAATTGTTAAGTTTTTTTTATAATTTTTTATATTTTATTTAGTTAGACACTTGTTATTAGAAAATTAGTAATTAGATTCTTTTTTTTTCATATTTAGTGTTATTAGGATTTTTATTTTTATTTTTTAAAGAGTTGTAATAGAATTTTGATTTAAAAAAAATTGATATATTTGTGTTTTTTTATATAGCTTACACATTTTTTTAATAGTTATGAGTTGTACGCATAGGGTTTTTGCCAAGGTGAGAATTTTTATTTGATAGGTGTGTGGATGATGTTTATACAAAGAGTGACAACTTGATATTCCTCCTTATATGTATGTGTGTGTGTTTGTCTATATATATATTGAATACTTTTATTTTGTGCAATTTAATTTTTTTTGCAATTTAATAATGTGAATATTTGCATTAAGCTTGCATAATTCTAAAACTTGTAATAATATTTAAGTTAATTACTTACATTATTTGTTTTATTTTCCTAACATACCAAGTGTTAAAAAATGTCGCGAGATAGAGAAGAAAGAAGAGCACAACAACAACCTCCAAGTGCGGACATTGGATGGAAATTGTTATTTCATTGGATGGTAGTACAAGCAAGCTACAATGTAAGTACTCGTGGAAGGGTGATTAAAGGAGGAATCACTCGTATCAAAGAGCATATAGCTCATAAGAAAGGAAATGTTGCTTGGTTGCTTAAGTGTTCCTAATGATGCTAGAAAAGATATGATGAAAGTCTAAATGATTATAAAGTCACGAAGCAAGATAAGTCAACGAGACAAAGTCGACTTCATGATGAAATCATGAATTCTCTTATCCGGGAACAAAGGGGTGCCGATGATGATGAAGATGAAGAGCTTATGTTTTATGCAAGACAAAAGAGCATAATACAACATGAGAGGGACATTTATAGAGGAAAGAGAGGAGATTTATATGAAGAGGGTTCTGGTTCTAGTTCTAAAAGAGTACAACATCAATAAGCTCATATCATACGTTGTTCACAAATTTTGCATGAAAGAGCTAGTTCAAGAAGACGACATAGTGGTGTTCCATCAATTCCTCCACAATCAACTTCAAGGAACAATTGGAAAAGTTACAAGAAGATGAAGTAGTTTTGCAAAAGACTCGCATAAGGAAAAAAATAAAAGTCAATAAGTTCTCGGTTATATAAAATTGGAAAGCAACATTAAGAAGAGCGAGTTGGACATTTTTTTGTTCATGAGAGAATCCCATTCAATGCTATGGAATCTCCGTGGTTTTCAACAATGCTTAAAACTACCGTTGAAGTTGGTCCCAAAATTCCACCTCCTAGTGCTTATGATCTTTGAAAGGTGTATTTGATAGAAGAGATGAAAAATATGAAGAAGTACATCAATGATTATGAAAATATCCGGAATGAGAGAGGTGTCACGATCATGTGTGATGGATGGTCCGGATCGACTAAAACGCATATCATCAATTTTTTGGTTTATTCAAATCGAAACACGGTGTTCATCAAATCATTCGATGCATCAAATGTGCTAACAAAGGATGCTACATATCATTTTGGGTTAATGAAGAAAGTGGTGTATGAAGTTGGTGAACGTAGAGTGGTTCGGATAATGACCGATAATGAAGCCGCAATGAAAGCTGCAGGAAAAAAGTTAATCCTCACTTGTATTGGTCGGCTTGTTCTACTCATTTTTTGGATCTAGCTTTAGAAGACATTGGAAAAAAATCGAAGGTCAAAGAAGTGCTTGAGAAGGAAAAAAAATTACCCAATTTATTTACAATTATAATTGGGTAGTTAATTATATGAAAAAACTTACTAATGGGTGTGACTTACTTCGGCTCGGGATCATTAGATTTGCCACCAATTTTGTTGATTTGGAAAGCATTGTTAAGTTTAAGAATGCACTCAAGGAGATGTGGGAGTCGAAGCTTGGAATAATTCTAGATATAGGAGGATGAAGGATCAACTTGCTATCGACGTTCACATATTAGTTCTGCAAGAATATCCATAAGCAATAAGATTATGGAAGAAGATGGGTGAAGTGATAGCCATTGAGGAGCCAATTGTAAAGGTTTTGAAATTTATGGATGGTGATGACAAGCCAATTATGGGGTTTATCTATGAAGCACTGCAAAGAACAAAGGCAAAAATCCAAGCAAGTTGCCAATATTCAAAAACATGGTGCGACATAGTTGATAAACGATGAAAATTTCAATTACATACGGACTTACATGCAATTGGTAAGTATATAAATTTATATAAATTAATCTTAACAATCTAAAGATATCTTCAATTATTATTAATACTTAAATATCATTTAGAAGTAATGTTATTTACTCTTTTTTTGTAGGTTATTTTTTGACTCCCCAAAATCATCATGTACTCCGAGAGAATCCAATATATCAAGATGAAAAAATCATACAAGGTGTCGAAATGCAATTATGAGATTAGAACCTAACATTGATAACCAAATCAAAGCCATCAATAAAGTAAGTTAAATAATCTTATGAATTGTGATAACATAAGATGCTAAAAATATTTAATATTATATGATATATATTAAAATATTATTAAAATATTTTTTAATTTAAATATGTAGTTGGAATTATATAGTTTGAAGCAACAAACATTTGGTTTAACCATAGCTTAAAAGGTTATGTATTCAACAAATTCAAGTACTTTATTAATTTATAAAATTTTATATTGTAAACATTATTGGTGTTATTTTTTTTTAATTTATGTAATTTTATTTGTTCAATGCAGTCGAGTGGTGGAATAGTTATGGAAACGATGCTCCAGTGACTTAGAAAGATTGCAATGCCAATTTTAAGTCAAACAACTTCCGCTTCAAATTGTAAGAGAAATTGGAATACTTTCAGCTTAGTGCATACAAAGATAAGAAAGAGGTTGAAGTATCAAAAATTATACACACTTGTTTATCTTTATTACAACATGGAGCCGAGGTTAAGAAATATATTAGGAAAGAGTCGAAAGAATTAGGAAAAAATTTTAATCCAATTAATTTGGATTACATGTTTTATGAAGATGATCCACTATCTCCTTAGTTGGAGGAAAATGAACAACTAGTCCTCGATAGACAAAATATGGATTGGTTGCATGTGCACAATGATGATAGCGATGATGACGATGGTGATGACAAAAACGATCAAAACAATTCTAATAATCAAACCAATCTGCATGATAGTGATAATGATGATCAAGATGAGGAACCTAGTAATAGCAGTAGTAACAATGATGAAGGTCGTGGAAAGGGAATAGCTTTTGATAGCAGTGTCAATCCAATTCTATATAGGCATGGGTTACATGGTTCTACCGCACCTAGATCCGATGCTAGAAATAAAGCACCAATAATAGAACAACAACAATCTAATGGTACCATACTGCATGATCAAGGACATCACTCTGTCTTTTCGAAGATAGTTCGACTTCTAACTTCAATTATGGTCAAGGATAATATTACCACCCACAAGGTCCACAAGTATATAGTTATGTATCTTATGATTCATATGGAATTTTATCGGACCAGTCAATTTCAAATCGACAATATCCTCAAGAAATTGGATCATCCATTGTCGCTTCATTATTTAGGCAATTGAGTTTGGAAGGACAATATAGTTATGGTTGTAATTTTGATAGACCAAGATCACAACATCAATAACAAGATGACAACATCAATAACAAGATGATAAATATTATTATGATCCTCCACGACGATTTTTTTGAAGATGAATATTTTGTAATGTGTATATTGAAATTATAATATATTTTATTATTTTTTTGTGATATTAATCTATTAGAAGTGTTATTAATTATTTTTTATAATAAATTTAACTATTTTTATATGTTATTAAACTATTAGAGATATGATTACTTATTATTATTTTTAATTAGTAAAGCTCGTCAAAAAATGTGAATTAAAATAAATTTATTACCGATTGCTAATGTATTTACACAATTAATTGTCGCGATTGTTATTTTACGACCGCGATAAGCCGCGACCGTATTTTCAACCGCAATCGCTATTTAAAATTATATTTCGCACTAATACGGTTTCCTTTCGGATGAATATCTTAGAGTAACGGATACTTGGATGAATGTCATCTCTTCATAAAGTTCATCTTTGTTTTCTGTGGACATTTTAGAATCCGATATCATAGCTATTGGGTTTTGTCTCCTCAAGGATTGGTCAAACCTTCAATTGCTCTAAATTATTGCAACGACATTTCGACTATAGGCTGAAATATTAAAGTTGTACTTCTCTCATTATATTGGTGCAAAATCTTGTTTCATTCCTTTAATTTGTCGTAATATGAATAATTTTTGCTTTAGAGCTTCTTCTAATTATCACATATTAATTCTATATTTTCATGTTATTTGGATATAAATTATTTTTATATTAATTTAAAATATTTTATAATATCATTTATAAACATTATCACTCCATACACATCTAATTATATCAGACCCATAGCGAGGAGTGTGGATCACAAACTAGTGTAAAACTATATCTATAATCAAGTGTCTATTGCTCCATCTTTGGATGGTGTTCCACATCAAATTCCGAATTGATATTTACAGAAATGGCCTTTTCTTTTCTTTTTAAAGCCCGGAAGCATGACGCCCGTAACAGGCCAGCTGGAGCTTAGAAACTAGCCTGGATCTTCGAGCCGGGCCAGTTTCGGACCTTACAAAAGCAGGACTTGAACCTGGCCCACGAACGGGGGTCTTTATCAAATAAAATAAAATATCGCACCTGCATCTGTACACTTTTTCTTTCTTGCTATCATTGATCTCTCGCCTGTTAAAAAATACTTTGCTATCCCAAAAATCAAGAATAAAGAAAGAAAGAAAGAGAGACAGAGAAAGAGGCAGAGAAAGAGATCAGACGGAAATCACATCTTGTTCTAGAGAGATAGAGGGAAAGAGATATTTATCATGAGAACTAGCAATCACTTGATAGGGCTGCTCAACTTCTTGACTTTTTTGCTATCAATACCAATCCTAGGGGGTGGTATATGGCTAAGCAGCAGAGCCAACAACACAGATTGCCTAAAATTCTTGCAGTGGCCATTGATAGTAATTGGGATCTCTATCTTGGTCGTTTCTTTAGCCGGTTTCGCTGGCGCGTGTTATCGAAACACTTTCTTGATGTGGGCTTACCTCTTTGTTATGTTCTTCATCATCGCAGCACTTATAGGGTTCATCATCTTTGCCTATGCTGTTACCGATAAAGGGTCGGGCCGTCGAGTCCCGAATCGTGCTTATTCTGACTATTATCTGCAGGACTATTCAGGGTGGTTGAAGGAACGAGTAGCTAGTGATAGCTACTGGCGCAAGATTGGCTCTTGTATACGAGATTCTAAGGTTTGCGGTAAGATGGGAAGGACTATTAATGGTGTCCCTGAGACTGTAGATATGTTCTATAACAGGAAGCTTAGTCCTATTGAGGTATGTGTCTTTTCATTTTCCAAAATACTATATATTTTCAGTTCAAGGAAGATAAAACTTCATGAATTTTCGAATTTCGTTTTGATTGGGATCTAAATGTACTAACTGAAAAATATATAGCTTTAAAAGTTTTGGGTTTAGCTAACGAGTTAAGTGGACTTGTTTTGCGATTAGAGATAGATAGGAGTGGAACGAGCTCAGGATCTTAACATCAAATCGAGTCGTTCTGCTCCAACCAGATGAATGGTTGAAAGTTTCACTTAATAGTAATAATAATAATTAGTTTCTGATGCAGCCAAAAAAGTTAAGAGATTCTATATTTGAATTCCCCATAAATACGCACTTCCCAATAAAGACTTCAAAGGATTGTGAGGTATTTTCTTGTTAATACATAATAATACTATTTAAATTATGCCCCAAATTATTGCTAGGGACTTCCGCCTTCAGGGCATGCGAAAGCCATGGAAACCACCTGCCTTTGCTGTTTCTTAATTGCCCCGTTGGTTTTTCGGGCAATAAGGGTCATTCATAACTCACCAACCTTTCGTAGAAAGGGGGCTAGCTTTATTCTTAAAAAAATAACACAAAAAAGCGAAAAGTCAGTAGCTTTATCCATCGGCTTAAGCGTTTGTCGCTTTTTCTTTTCCCTTGGACGTGTCTTTTTTCTAGTTTTGAGAAGGACGGGGAACTGCGGAAATTGTCTAAAAATAGTCCTAGCCCTATGTCTCGATGATCTGATTATTTATAAATAAAATAAATTTATAGTGATTGTATCAATATTTTGGTACACCGTGATATTGTCCCTTTCCTTTAGTCATGTTTATTTGTACAAGGAATAATATCTGATCTTAAACTAATAGTAATCATGCATGGAAGAAGGAATGAAAAATCTTGATAAAAAGAGAGAACCTGATCGCATAATTAACCAAAAGAAAGAAAGAAGAAAAGCTAAGAAAGTGAAATGATTGCTTTGTATATACATGAGGAAAGATTTTAACCACATGTTTCATTCGTAGAAGAAAAAAGCTTCTGAAGAACTGTGGCCGAGTCTTTATCGGTTTGAGTACGGTATCCAGAATATTAGAATCTTAGTGTATTTATTAATTTGTTTCTATGCTCTTGGCATACTTTAAGTTGCATCTATTCTCGATGAAAAAGTTACGGCTTGAGGAAAAAAAGGTGAACGAGATAAAGGGAGATGTAGAAAGCTGGAATCTTATCTAGGGATGGCAATGAGCGGATATGAGCTTATTAATTCAATTTTTTATCATATACATCAGAAGAATATCTTATCTATTACCTATTAAGAAATCATCTTATAAATATTTAACCAATCCATATCGGATCTACACTAGTTTTACCCATTCATTTAATATTCATTAAATATCTATCTAATGTAATTTGGCAAAAAAATTTATTTTAATTCCTATAATTTTTAAGAAAAGTTTTTTTGATCCTTAAAATTTATTTTTTTGCATTTTGGTCATTTATTTATAAACTTTTTTGATTCACAAATTTTTTGAAAAAATATTTTAATTCTTAATTTTTAAATTTTATGCAATTAGATCATTGCATATTAATTTTTTTAAAAAAATCTAAATAAACTAATGGGTATTAATAGAATAACGAGCGGATATCCATATTGTGAAACCATATTAGTGTATATGTATTTTTTTATTTTTATCCACTTTAATATCTATTAGACATTTTTAATAGGTATTTATTAGGTTGGGTAAAGTGGATACTCATTTTATACCTGGTCCATTGTCATCTCCGATCTTATCTAATATTTATGAAACTAGATGATCAGTCATTGTGGTTTGGAAACTATATAATTAGTCACTGTATTTATAAATTCATTTACTATAATTAAGTCTCTTATTGAGTTGCTGAGTTTTCCCAATTTAATAATTTTTGTCCTAAAAACACCTCCTTCTTTTCTTTTTCTTTTTCTTTTTCTTTTTCTTCTCTTTTTTTTTTTCCTAATCTTAACCGCAAGATCAAACAAAGAAATAAAACTTAACACCAACCCGTATATAAAAAGTGGAAATCAACCCAAAAAAAAAAGAAGAAGAAGAAGAAGCCAAAAATCATGAAGTGCAAAAATTTCTCTGCAAACCGTTATTCCATTAGCATCCTAAAAGCTTCAAGAGTTGATTTGCAACAACTTGAACTTAAAAAATGAACCGATGCACCAATTGGACCTTTTGAGCAGTAATAGGACAATCTCATCACATAAATGAAGTAAAAATTGTTTCCATTCTTTAAAAGTAGAGGACAAAGTCTAGGAGACAATTTGTAGTAGGTTGTTTATTTGGTAAGGTCGAAGAATATGACGGATTAGGGCTTCACGAATTGAAAAGCAGATCTGTAAATTTGAGAAAAATTTCTCTCCTGGATGAATGCCTACTATCACATAATTTAGCAAAATCTGTATTTTATTCAATGGAAATTTCTCATTCAAATTTAAAATCTACAAGCAAGCATATGTAATGCTTGAATATATGGTTCCTAATCCTACTGGCATCTGGGTTCCTATATTCAAAAAGATGAACCTTACAGTATAAGAAACATAAATTAGTAAAATTATAGAATTACGCAGATGCAGCCTATCTAGGATAAACACCATTAAAAATTTAAACAGACTTGTGCTATTCTTGCAATTCTTGTATAGCATATTATCCCCTGTATTTTATTTTATTATATATACGGGTGACTTGTGGGTATTTCATTGTCATTACATTTTATATGACGCAACAAATTTCCATTTGGTTTGTTTTGCAGTCTGGTTGTTGCAAGCCCCCTACAGAATGTGGTTTCACTTATCAGAACGAGACGGTATGGACACCATCTGGAGGGGTTGTTTACAACACTGACTGTAACAGCTGGAACTCAGATCAAGAGCAATTGTGCTATTCTTGCAATTCTTGTAAAGCTGGCGTACTAGCCAGTCTCAGGAAGAGTTGGAGGAAGGTTTCGGTCATTAACATCATCATATTAATCATTCTAGTGATCGTTTATGTGATTGGTTGTGCAGCCTTCAGGAACAATCGGCGGATTGATAATGATGAACCCTATGGTGAAGCAAGGATGACTAAGTCTCAACCTAGCAGAATCCAGCTTTAATTGGAGTGAAGTTTTTGTTGGATTTCCTTTTTACAAGAATGTAAAAATTATGGTTTTGCTGTTGTTATATAAAACTTGTTTATCTTAGCCAGGGAAATGCACTATTTGTTTTCCTCTGTATTTATTATCCTTTCTAAGATGGCTGTGTATGCATCTTTTGAAATAACAGCCTGCTTGTTGTGCAATTTAAAGCCAAGTGATTGGGAACACTTGATTATCTGTGAGTGTTCGTGGTTGGAATTTTTCTACTGTTATTTGTGATTTTTTTTTTTTAATTAATGATTTTGCTATTGAAAATATACTCTTTTTAAGAGAAAATTAGGGGAACTACTAAAGGAATAAAAGTTGGTAAAAAGATGAATAAAAGTGGTTTAAGTTAGTGTGGGTTAGTATTGTTGCGATGCTTCCAGACTTGGAATATTAATTTAATTATTTATGTCTTTGAGTTATTATTTTTTGGATAAATATTGACTTTTTATCCTTTTTTTATTATTATTTATCATGGATCAAATTTTGACTGTTGATCAATATTCCTCTTAAGAAATTTAATTTTTGGTATTGTGAGCTGGAAATTTTTATAGATGTCCATGAAAATTTAATTTACGTTCAAATATTATTTTATTTCTTTTCGAAGTTGGGAAGTAATTGTTTTTTGAGTTTTTGAACATTAAATACTAATAAAATTGCAAAAAATAAATAAATAAATAAATTGAATTACCTTCAAAGTTTTTTTGGAGGTCTTTTAAAAATCATATAAATTTATTTCCATAGTTTTCATGGTCAAATACATAATATAACTTAAAATAAATTAGTTTTAAAAATTCATAATACAGATCGTTTGAGAATCATTATAAAACTATTCAAATACATTATATGATCTCCATAGGGCTAACAACACAATTTGGGAGCATTTCAACTTACTTTTTATTTTTCACAATTTGACGAATTTTTAATCTTAAAAAAAAAAAAGAAAAAAAGAAGTTTTCGACCTAAACAAATTTTAAAAATAAATTGAATTTTTGTTAGCAATTATAAAAAATTTTAAACAATCTTCTAAGAATGTTTTTTGTTCTACAGTTAAAGTTTGACGAGTTGACTTTACAGTAAAGTCAAACGGAGCTTGATGAAGGAATAACATTTTCCACAGTATTTCATTTCAAGAGTTAGAGTATTTTGTTATTATTTAGAACTCAACTAGCGAGATATCCCACGTGTTGTCGCGAGGTACGCTATACAACATTCTTATCCGTTCGTCTATATAAAATTTAAAATTTAAAAATAATTGTTTAAAAGGATCACATGAAAAAAATTCAAAATAAAAAAAACAAAACCTATATCTCATATTTTGTCGCAGGACTAGCTAAACGAAAACTTTGCAAAGTTAAATAATATAATGTTACTAATTAGATATTGTTTGATATAAATATGTATTTTATTAGAAATATGTGTAATAATTGGTTATTAAAATAATGATGTGATTTTTATTTTTTTGAATTTTAGATGATTAATTTTTATCATTTATTCTTCATCTATAATTTGTTAGTGAGATAAAGAGACCATCCAAAACAAAAAGATAAAAAAACTTTATCAAATCGAGAATTTGAAAAAAAAAATAGAGATAAAATTACACACTATAAAAATTAAATGATCAAAATAAAATAATGATCATAAAAGAATGATCAAAATAAATAAATAAAAAACTTTCACTAAAAGCCAAAAAAACAAATTATAAACAATAAGATTTTAAAAAATTCATTATACATAAGGCTGGAACAAAAGTAAAACATAATACAATTTTAATGACTAAAATAAAAAAAAATCAAAAAATAAGAACCAAAACATAAAATATTTTTTACTAAAAGCCAAAAAAAAAAAATTAATAGTGAAACTTTATTTAATTTTAGTTTAGAAAGTATAACAATCAAATATAATAAAACTTTAATGATCAAAATAAAAGAAAGATCACAAAATAAAAAATTAAACATAAAAAAAAGTTTTACTAAAAGTAAAAAATAGTTCCTTGCAGGGAAAAAAATCAAATATAATAAAAAGTTAATGATCAAAATAAAAAACAATTACAAAACAAGGACTAAAATAAAAATGAAATTATACTAAATTCAATGGCTAAAACAAAGAAAAAAAAATCACAAAATAGGAATTATAATAGAAAGAAAAGTTTAACTACAAGGAAAAAAAAGCTTAGGATAGTGAAACTTTATTTAGTTTTAGTATAATAAGGATAAAAATCAAACATCATAAAACTTTAATGACTAAAACAAAAAGATATCACAAAATTAGAACAAAAAAAGAACATAAATTTTTACTAAAAGCCTAGAAAAAAATATTTATTATAAGAAAAAAATCAAATATAATAAAATTTTAATATTTATTATAGGGGTAAAAATCAAATATAATAAAATTTTAATGACCAAAGCGAGAAAATTTAAATATAATAAAATTTTAATATTTATTATAGGAACATAAATCAAATAAAATAAAATATTAATACCAAAATAAACAAAATTACAAACTAGGGACTAAAATAAAAATAAAAGATAAAAGATGGGTTTAAAAAACACAGCAAGAGAAAGGGGAAAAAAAACTGTTAAAATAATCCATAGTAAAAGTGCTACAACAATTTTGTGTTTTGCTTTAGTATTTCTTATAATAAAATTTTAATGACCAAATGGACAAAAATCAGATATAATAAAATTTTAATTTTTATTATAGGGATGAAAATCAAATATAATAAAATGGTAATGATCGAAATAAATAAATAAATAAATAAAAAGATTACAAACTAGGGACTAAAATAAAAATAAAAGCCTAAAAGGGGCTTAAAAAACACAATGAGAGAGGGAAAAAAAAAACCCAAAACTCGTGAACAGTTAATCCACGAGTAAAAGTGTTAAAGCACCTTTGTGTTTTGTTTTAGTATTTCTTACTAGTCGCTTACCCGAGCTACGCTGCGGGTCCGATAGAAAAAAATCATTTTAAGTTTTTTTAAAAAAATTTTGTTATAATTTTTTTATTTAATTAAAAATTTTAATGGTTTTTATAAATTTTATGCTTAAAAAAAAACATAAATCATTCTTCTTTATGGATTTAATCAAGAATTAAGAAAAGTTTAAAAATATAATTTTCATAATATTGTATTCAAAAAAATAAATTTATAACAAAATTAACAAATAAAAAATCTTATTTAATGCTAATAAGAAGATTAATTTTTAAAATTGTCCATGCAACGCTATAAGTAGATAGAACAAAATCATTTAAAAATTTTATAATTTTTTCATTATTTTTTATTTAATTGTTACAATATATATATATATATATATATATATATATATATATATATATATATATATATATATATATATATATATTTTTCACAAATTTTTTGCTTTAAAAAATTATTTATTCTTCTTTATGTAAGGATTCTTAAATAAAAACTTGTAATAATTTAAATTTAAAATATTAATTAAGAATTCAAAAGCAAATACTTTAAAATTATATATATATTTTTTATAAGAATGCATCCAAAACATAAAAGTCACAAGTAATGTATAGACTTGTATAAAAATTAACCAATGAAAAAGTAAAAATTTATTCTTATTTAATGTTGGTGAGAAGATTATTTTAAAAAAATATATATACATTAGATCTATATAAGTTTATTTACAAAATAATCAACAAAATTAGCATATAAAACTATATTTGAATAATTGGTTGGTTCCTTTAAAAGATTATTTTAATTATTTTATTACAAATAAATTTGTTATATAATGTTAAAAAAATATTCATAGAAAATAATTTGTATTATGTTGGAAGATGTATAGTTAATTTTTTTAAACAAATCAACGATTCAATAGTTTTTTTATATGTTTTAACCATACCTAGTGAACTGAGATAAATTATTTAAAATACACTTTTAACCTTTTATAATAAAATAATTATATATTTGTATATGTGCAACTATCATTTAAAAATTCTAAGAATTCATGATATATATATGTGTGTGTGTGTGTGTGTGTTGAAGTCAAAAAAATATGATTTGTTCTTTGTTATGCATTTATTCTTAAATAAAACCCATAATAAAAAAAAGTTTTATATAAAATTTTTATAAAAAAAATCTTGTTATTTTTTTCATTATATTGTATCAAATAAATAAAGTAAGAGTTAATATAAAAACTTATATGAAAATTAACAAATGAAACTTTTTTATCGATGAGAAGATTATTTTTTAAAAATATATACATTTGATTTATAAATATTTGATCACAAAATAATGAATAATATTAGTATAAAAAATTATATTTGAATTATTAAGCAGTTATTCTAAAATATATTTTTAATTATTTTATTTGAAAAAATTATTTTAAATATTAAAAAATAATAGCAAATAGTTGGTATTGTGTGTGAGATGCATAGTTGATTTCTAATAAAATCAATACTCTAGTGTTATTATTTTTGATACATCATGACCATACACAATATGAGAAAATATATAAAATAAATTAAAAATATTTTACAAAATTAAATGGTAAAATATATATTGAAGTTAATAGAGTGTAGTAAAAACTATAAAACTAATTTCAATTAAATTTGATTATGTAAAAAATAAGAAAATAAAATACATATATTCAATTTTAAAAATTTGATTATATAAGAATCAAGTAAATAAAAACAGGTATTAAAAACACTTATTCAAATCCATACATAAAGAAAATAAGTCATATTTATTAATAAATAAAATTATAAAAAAATAAGAATAAAAATTAATTTGATGAGAATTTTTATTAAAAAAAATCAATTTTATACAATAAAAGTAGTTTATATTTATTCTAAAATCTAAAAACATATCATATAAATGTAAAAAATATCATATATATTATATAATCGTCAATTTATGTGAAAAAAAGTAATGATTGATTTTTCAAAATTTTAACACCTAATTAAATAAAAAAAGAACATAAATTGATTTAAAAAAACGCAAAGGAAAAAAAAAGACATGAGTAGTGTTATATAATCGTTAGTTTTTATATAAAAAAAACAATGATTGATTTTTTAAAATTTTAGTACCTAATTAAATAAAAAAAAAGAACATAAACTGATGAAAAAAACAAAGGAAAAAAAAGGTATAATTGGTGTATCGGATAGAGGATTAAAATTTTAACGGCGAAAATGAAATAACCTGAAAATTTAAAAAATAAATAATAAAAAAAAAACCTAAAAGATCAAAATGAAACAAACTAAAATTTTAAAAGAAACCTAACTTGATGAAAAAAAAAATAAAGAAAAAAAGCATGTATTCACGACAACTTGAGACAAAAGAATGAAAAAAAGAAATAAACAGTATAAAAAAAAAAAAAAAAAGAGAGAGGTGAACTTGAAACAAAAGAAAGAAAAAAAAACAAAAAGAAATAATGAACAGCACCCAAACCAAAAAGAAGAAAAAAAAAGGCTGAAAAAAAAAGTCAACAGTAAGTGAACAATATATGAATAGTAGTTTAATGTTTAAAAAACCATGTCTTTTAATTTATTAGTAATAATTTGTAAAGAAGCACGAGGTACCCCATGATCAAACAGGATTGCAAATTCCTCTAAACCTATATATATATGCATTTTAAATTTAATAAATAAAAAACACAAACTATGTATACAATTTATAATCATAAAAAAGATCTTGAATGATTTATATATACAACCAGACTAATATTAGTAATTTACGAAGTAAAATATTTAATATCATAATTTTATGTTTTTAAATCACATAGTATTAATATTTTTAATCTGACTTAAAAAAAAATTATTGTGTATGTGAGATTGTTTATACAAAATTTTAAAATAATATCTTATGAAGTGATAAAAAAAAATCGAAAGGGGAATTTTTTTTTTAATCATCCGATCCGATTCGACCGAATTTGCAGTTGATAAAAATCCCGCTTCTATCGGATCCCTTACCATATCTAATCAAAGAGGAAATTCATTCAACATTACAAATCTCAATTTGTTAAAAAAGAACTAAAAAAAAATCATTGAATTCAAGACGTACGTGGGTTTTTAGAGAATCTTTTATTTTGGGCAGGAAATCACAATGATTGTTAATAGAACAAAACAGATCCAAATACATACAAGCCTGGATCTGCTATTATTTAAAGGTAGGAAAAGAGGAGACGTAAATGAGAAAGAAACGAAAAAGCGACCTTCATTGATGGCAGCCAAGGGAGCTGCGGGAGTGTAGATGCAGGTTAGAGTAACGAAAGGAGGAACATCCTGGGTTTTTAGATAATTTGATGTCCCAGTGTGGTGACCAAAATTTTACAGATGGTGATTTTCACCTGCTATGACGATGGCAAAATTGATTACATTACTGAGCTGGAAGTAGGATGCAGGGTTGTGTTTTCTTTCTTTTTTTTTTATATATAAAAAAAAAAGACAATTTATTGAAGCGTTCTTTAGTTATAAATAAAAGAGGCTGTGCCCATAGCCTCCCTCCCGGGAAACAAACCATATTATTGCCTAAATTCTTAAGGCATGCAAAAACAAAATAATCATCTATGAGATCCAAAGTCGATATGCAGCATAATGACAGCCTACAACCTGTATTATTTTCCAAAAGGAAGAGTTCAAAACAACCTAACCAACCTCTACCACCATCGATCAGGTGCACCCAGAACCCAAGTTCATTAACACAAATACAACCGCTGAAACTAAATCCTACGACATCCAAAATGCATAATAGCCGAAACACGCAAGTTGTTGACCTCATCATCTGAATTCTTAGGCATCAGCAAATCTGCCAGGAAAAAACAAAATCAAAGACCATCAAATGAGGAACAATCCAAAAATCCAGGTAATTCGTCAACGTAACGTAATCACTGAAGAGAACAAAGATTGAAAATAACAGTTACCCCAGTTCAGAGAGCTTCAGATGAGCTTCAGAATAATCTTCAAAGAAAGCATCTTCATCCTAAAAAGCAGAGGAAAGAACAACGTTAGCAACAGGAAAGAACAACGTTAGGTAAGTACATAAAGCACAACAACAGATAATATGTTTTGGTTTCAAATGCACATACTGCAGCATATTTTTCAACATATGGGCGGAAGATAGGGTCAGATAGAAGAGCCTTGTCAGTTGGCAGTTGCAGAAGCCCTTCCTTCTCGCCACTCAAGAGCTCCCTAACAAAGTTTAGGATCATACAATGTGAAAAAAGTGAAACGGAAAAGCAGTGCAAGCATAAATTCAATGTTCGTGCGCTACAATCTGTTAGGAAACAGGTAAAGGCTCCAAAGGAAACTAATTGAACTCACTTGAAGTAAGAGTTATCAAAAATGAGAGGGTTAGCAGTCCAGGGTCCCTCGAAACCAGAGCGCTCCTTGTGGCACCTTCCCTGCAATACTCATTATTAACATAGCAAGCACAAGCAAGTATAAAAACAAATAAGCAGCAGCATCGAAATTTCAAGACCCTTGGAACCCTAAGGTATTATTTCAGGAAAAAATTTAAAGCTTATAACAGACCAGGGTGTGGCCCCCAGAGAGAGCTACAATATCCTTGTCACTGAGGCCCATGTGGCCAAAGACATCCCTCAAGTGGTCAGAACCTGAAAATAGAGTTACACCAAAAGTTGATGACTCGGAACTAAATCAATTTCACTTTCAGTTGCAAAAAAGTTGACACAGAGCAAACTAACCCTTGGTAGCATCAGGCAGACGACCTTCTGGAGGTGGCTCGGGCTTGTCCTGAAATCAAATAGGACGGCAGAAAATCAACACATAGAACAAAAAAAAGACCACAATTTATCTACCCCAAAAACTCCACAATGTGAGGAAACGCAAAACTGTGAATTATAGAACATATATCTTCTAAGCTACAAGAGATGCAAGGAATTAAGTGTCCAAAACATAGACAAGGGGAATGCTTCTTATTCATTCTACACAAAACATATCAGACAAGACTGTCATACAATAATTGAGATTTGTTCAAAACAGATTCTAGACATCGAATCAAGTCAACCTTTAGAACAATAAATAAATGAAAAATCAATGGAATTACCGAACAAAGAAAACAAACAGATGCACCCAACGTTTTGGGTTATGAAATAGTTCTGATCCAGCCTAAAAAATCAACGATGATATAAAACCTTACAGGGGACCAACAAATCAATAAATAAAAAATCATTCGGCAAAACTGAAACAGTCTGCAATTTCTACATGTCAAAACACACACACACACACACAGAGAAGAAAAGAGAAAATTACTAACCTCCCTCCCAGGGTGGAAAGGAATATCAGGACCACCAGTGACTTCAACAGCAACAACGCCGGCAAGCTACACAGAAAAAAACCAATCAAAATATAATAATTATTGCAAAAAATCTCAACAATAATAAAAATGCATATATATGAGAGTACTTGGTAGAAATCGGCGTAGGAGAGAATGGGAAACTGCTCCTTGATGGGCTCAAGGAGTCTGACAGCAATATCTAGGCCACTGTTAGCACCATGTGCCAGCTCCGCCGAGTGCCTCATGGTCCCAAATGGCCCTCCGGTTTTGGTCTTAACATCGAAGGTCCCAGCTGAGTGCCATCTGAATCAAAAACATAAAATCCAATCGAATCGGGTCGGATCGGATCGGAACGAATCCAATCAAATCAAATGATTATTACAGTTATTTACATTTACATTTACATAGAAAAGGGAAAAAAACGAAAGAGGAAGAAGAGCATACGCTAGACGAAGCATGAGAGGAGCGCAGTTCTTCTCTGCAATCAAGCCTCTCAGCTTCTTCCTTGCCTTTTCAACGGCCTTGCTATACTCTTCGCTTACAGCTGGATAGTTCTTCGTCATTTTTGTTTCACTTGCGAATCTACAACCAACAACATGAACCGATAAACTCAGATTATATTTGGATCGAACAATGCCAAACAGTAAAAAGATCAAAGCTAAAACAGACCTATGTTGATGGAACCCTAGCGCGAGGCAGGCACAGGTCAAGCACACGCTCCTAGTGATAAGTGATACTACTTTAGTCTCTTCTGCTTAGCTGCAAAGGGGTGGAACAAATATAAGAGGGATGAGAATGTTCTAGTAGCTTAACTTCATCCGTTGGATTTTAGCTCATCATCTTGGGGCTGATATTGCTTTTGAAAACGAACGGATGGGATTGGATTGGTTTGGTTTTGGACGAAAATACGTACGGTTTCCCCACTATGGTAGGTGAGGGCAGGCAAAGGAGAAATCTAAAATGGAATGGACTATGAAGAATGGGCTGTGTAAAACCGAAAATACCAAATACCGTCAAAGCTTTTATTAGGGGTTAATCCTTTCCTAAATCCTTTGACTCTACATGCTATTTATTTTTTAGCGATGATTATCAAAAAAAAAACTTTATCAAAAAAAATATATTTAAAAAACCCATAAATTTATGTTTAAATTTTCTAAACCCAAAATAATATTTTTCTTACTAAAAACATCTAATAATTAACACTAATATTAACTATTAGTTTTTTTGTTAAAAAAAATATTATTTTAGGCTTGTGAGATTTAAAAATATTATTTTGTGTTTAGAAGATTTAAAAATAAAATAGTGAATTTTTTAGATAAAAGATTTTTTAGAAGGTATTTCGGTAATTATTCTAAGTTTAAATAAAACCATTATCTTTCAAAATATGTATTTGTATTATGGATGATCATGTTTTATTTAATTCATGCACCAAAATATGTTATACATTCATACTGTAATTTAATTGAATTGTTTGATAAAAAATGTTGTGTTTTTATTAATTAAAAACTAGTATTACCAATAATATTTTTTTCCTATCAATATATTAGAATTTAAGAAATCACTAATGTTCATAATCATACATATTTTTATTTTTCTTATTTATAAGATAATCTTTTGATTAAATTACAAGAGAATAAAAAGAGTCTCATTTTATCAATATTAATTAGTTAAATTGCATTGATTGCTATAGTTACTAGATAGTAAAATTAATTTTGAAACAAATGGTCGATAGAAAAAAAAATTCTAATATAAAGAATTTTTTAGTATAATAATAAAAAAAAAAACATAGTCTAATGTTAGTGTTTAAAAATTTTCTATTTAAAAAATCCATCAATTTATTTTTTAAATGTCTCGGATCTAAAAATAAGTTATCTTACCAAAAGACCTAATAAATGTTAAACTCGGAGGTTAACTATTGAATGTTTTGACAAGAAAAATATTATTTGTGATTTGAAAGATTTAAAAATAAATTAATGAGTTACTGAGATATAAGATTTTTTTAAAAAAATTTTTTTTAGTAATTATTCCTATTTTTTATCTTAATATTTCTTCGTACTTTACATTTTCATCATCATGACACCATTTCCTCCCGTCAGTCGGTTTAAGACGTCGTGAATTTTCTCACTAGTGGACATTTTAGTTCTTAAAGGTTTTTGAAAATCTTATTTAGTCCTTTTATTTTATTGTCTTACAAATAAGTCATTATTTGAAAAGCTTTTTTGTCATTGTAATTTACAATAAATATAATTTAATCATAAACTTAGTCAAAATTCTCATGATAGACATACAATATTGTAGAGAATAAAAATTTAATAAAATCACAATAATTAAAAAATAATCAAATTTGCTTAATCAATCTAATCAAACAAAAATTATAAATAAATTTAGAGATTGAGTTATTATTCTAAAATAAAATTTATTTTCTAATTTTCTACACATATGTCAATCACTTGTGATTTTGTTATGTAAGTATGGATTGATTTTGTTATGTAAGTATGGATTGATTAACTTGAGTGCGGTGTAAGAAAATTAAATTGACATATTTGATTTTGTAATTATTTTTTTGTGGATGTTGGTTTTGTAAGTATTGAATTACTGTTGTTAGACTATTAAAAAATAAAATATCTAAAATACTATGAGAAAAAATCCAATATCAAAATAAAAATAATTCATGTGTAAGGTAATATAAAAATCTTGACCGAATTTACTATTTGACATGTGGGAATTTAATTAAAAATAATAATTTAAGGACTAACATTTATTTACCATAAAGTATGATGGTAAAAAAAAACTTTCAATTAAGAACTTATCCGTAAGAAATAAAATAAAGAGACCAAAGTAAAGTTTTCAAATAAAAAAAAATTAGAAACCAACATGTAAATCTGTAAAAAAAATTATACTGCCAGATGTCAAATTGTAATAGCATCAGTAATTGTAGACTGGCGAAAGTGTTACCAATGATGAAAATATACGAAATATGAATGATATTAAAATAAATAATATTATAGAAACCTTTTTAACATTAAAGAAAGAGTATATGAATATAGAGAAGCATTAACCCATTTTATTAGCCCTTAGAAAAAAACAAAACAACATTTGCTTGGGATGGGTATAATGTCAAATTTTGTCTTCATTCTATTGCTATTTAGCAATTTCAATTCATAATATCAAATCGCATAAATTGAATATTAAAGTATTAAAAATTAGATAAATATGATCAAAATTATTTAATCTTCATTATATATAACAGCTTAATCTAGTTGATCTGTTACTTTAAATACCAAAACAACATAATTTTGACATTTCGTTGTTAATTATATTTAAAAAATATTTTTAACCCCCTAATCTTAAACTTTTTAATTTTTTTTTGTAAAATATTACAAATATTTTATAAACTATATATACAAAAATTTATAAATATTTTTAACCCTCCCAATTTTAAACTTTTTTATAAAATATTATAAATTTTTATAAAAAAAAATTATAATTTATAAAAATTAGCAAGGTCAACCCTTAATTATGATTATTTTTAATTTATAAAATATTTTTTAAAGGTTGAAATTGTATATTATTAATTATGTTTTTTTTTACAATAACATTTTATATAAAAAAAGTTCAAAATTAAGAGGTTAAAAATATATATATATATATATATATATATATATATATATATATATATATTTTTTATAAAATGTTTATAATATTTTATAAGAAAAAAGTTTTTAAAAAAAGTTCAAGATCAATAGGGTAAAAATATTTTAAAAAACATAATTAACAACGAAATGACAAAACAATATCATTTTGTCATTCCAAATAACGATCAATCCAATTGACCATTATATATGATAGAGATTGGATAATTTAGATCTCATTTGCTAAATCTTCAATACTTTTAAGTATAAATTACGTAATTTGATACTATGAGTATGAAATTATCAAATAATAGTAAAATGAAAACAAAATTTATCATTAAACCGGTTGAGATGAGATTGGTAAAATGTTGGTTCCATCTGAAAAGACCAGTAAAATGTTGGGTGGAATCCAAAAAAAAAAGTTTAAATACTTACTAGTATTATATAATTTATCAATTATCATATAATTAGATAAATTTATCACATAATGTGTGAATAATACTAAAAACAGAAAGTTTGAATACCTACTATTATATCGAACGATATGATGATATGATGTGAGTGACAAAATGTTAATTACAATTTAAGTAAATAAGTCGGGAAATGGCAAGTGATTCAATTCTTGACCTATACTCTTTAATTCTATGACATGAATAATGAGGGGAAAAAAATCACTTGTTTGGATATCGTTATTTCGTTGTTTTCAATTTGTTTTATTTAAAATAAATTACTTTTTTTTTTACCTTATACGCACTTTAGTGATTTTTTTTTTTTTTTTGTTCATTTTGATCTGAACCCTCTTTTTAATTAAAGCAGATTAATTTCTTTACATATAGCGTCCACTTATGAACGAAAAGTCAACATGTGAAAAAAAAAAAAAACAAACCTTTTTTCTTGGCAGAGACAATCTCTATGTGGCAATCTCTCCAACTATTTAACGCCATGTGTGCTTGCATCAAGACATCGAATCATTGAATCAAGAGCTGGGATAAATCAATCTTCGTCCCAATAAATTTGGGAAAAGAAAACAAGAGTTAATATTTAGCGTGAATAAATATAGATTCCTTTTCTTATTTTGCCAAACATTTGTGATAAAAAGTAATATGTTAATTAGTCTCGTGTCCCTGTATTGTGGGGATAATAATATTTTAGTTGTTTAATTATTCTTAAAATCATTAAAATAATAATAGATTTCAAACTCACGAATATAATTAACTCAAAAATTGTATAATCTGTATAACATTTATTTTTTTTCCAACTTCGTATTAATTTTTAATTCTTTTTAGTGACTGAAAGTGAAATTTAAAAAATCTCTATCCCAAAACAAATATAAAAAAGTAACAATTTTTTTAAAATATAAAACATATTTTATTTTTTCGATTCATATTCAATTTAAATTATTAATTACTAAAATTCACTTAATTTTGTATTTTTTATATAATACTTAATTAAAAAATAATAAATATTCAGATAGTATGTGATTTAACTCCCATCCTAATATAAACTTTTGAACAACTTGAGAGACTTTGACATGGGTTGATCATAAGAGATTGTTTTCTTAAAGTTTTTCGTTTTTACATCTTATCGAAAAATATTCAATATGCATCTTAAATTAAAATTTATAATATGAACTTTCACATGGTTTAAGTAAAAATAATTTTACAATAAACATATATCAAGAAGTTGTGTTTCAAAGTGTTTAGTTAAAAACAAAAATTCTCATTTTGTCAACTTAATATCAGCATTTTAATTTTTTTTTCTTTTTTATTTCCATACGTGATATTTTAATTTCTATTCTCCCTGGAAGTTGTATGTTTGTTTGTTTGTTTTTTGCTTTTTTCGGTAGCCTGGCAGTACCCTTTTATGGCAAGCAGTGCTTGCCAGTCTCCTCTGTGGCAAGCAGTGCTCATCAGCTCTGTGCACTTATAGAC